CCAATAACAATAACAACGACAATACCCAAATGCAATAGAATTAATAGCAAACATAATTATTACTAATTATACTGTGTTTTATGATGAATGTGTGCACGAAATCAATGTTGATAATAATCATGATATAGGACTATAACTAGGGGCGGCTCGTGGGGTTAAAAAGTGGGCGTGCACAATTAAGCTATCGCAGGTTGGAGATAGTCAATGGCATAGTAAATGAGATGGTGTATACTTTTAGGATCTTTGGGTTTGTGAGGGAGGACCTCGTGCTTTTCTTTTTTTCTTTTCACTTTTTGTTTGACTTCTAGAACTAAATCTATTTGTTAACTAAACGTCAATTTCATTCATCCTGCATTAGAACTGAACTCTCAGGTAATACCTTTCACCACTCCACTACAAAACCGTTCAAAAGCACAACTCATAGGACGGCGACTTAAGTATGTCACGTTCACTTCCCTCAGGTTCACGGTCACAGAGTCACTTGAAATAGTGGCAAGACAAAGAACCAATCACTATTCACTTGAGCACTCCGCTGGATTGCTCCGGAACTCACATAATTTTGGCATAGAATAGTGCACAGTCTTTCACGTATTTTTTTAGATTGCCTACTGTGGGCTATGTTTCGGCGCTATTCGGCAGGAGCACATTTGAGATGTGCCGTCTTATTAATATTAATGTATCGCCTAACTCTCTACGAGTGTCGTCATCGCTTGGGTTATCTCAAAGAGCGATTTATAGGTCAAGTTTCCCACTGTTGAATATCCTGTTGTGTTTAGATACAGTGCATGAACTTTGGCATGGCATAGTAGATGTTTTACGGCGCTATAGACACAGAAACGACCGTTACGGCGCCAGCAAGGACCTTGTTTTGATATAATATTTGGCTAGTGTTTGTTTCTGGCGTCTTTTATTTTATTATTGTGGGTGCTTTACGTAGTAGAACATTACAACATTTTGGGCGGCACTGCACGACTGTGCTCTATGGACGAACCGCGCCTGACTATAACGTGACTTTGGTCACAAGTTATAACGATATCTATTGCAGTATCACCATTAACAAAAAATAGGTCAACAAAAATCGTAGTTATCAAAGGCCTTTAAAAAAACCACACACACTTTGTTTTGCAAATTAATCATATTCATTACGAGAACAATGTCATCCTTTTTGCGTGTTATCAGAAAGGGAAAAACATTTATTAAGGGAACTAACCCTGGAAATTTGAACAATCTAGGGTGTTGTTGTTGCCTCCCTTGCCAATTTTGAAGGTCCATGTGCCCCTGATGTCTTCGTACATGCAGTTGCCTGGGGTGTCGCCTTGTACAACCACGATGGCCGCAAGGGCAACCACACAGGTGAGGATAACAGACTGCATCGTGGATTACCTGCGGACGTACAGAATGAATAATTATTAGATGTGCACCATATGACCTTGTGTACTTGAGAGC